TGGGTGAAAAAATCATCTACCACCAACACATCCGACAAGGGAACCCGAGTGTGGAGCTGTACAACACCCATGTCCTGAGGAAGAGAAGGCACAAACAGGCAGTCATTGAGAGGCATGAAGGAAGCACTCCCCTCCCCCCCACTCAAAAAACACCTGAAATGGATGACACCATATGCCAACAAGAGTATGGTACAAAAAAAGCTGTGCCTGACCTCAAGCAAAAACCAAGGATCATCTGCTAGCCAGGAAGACTCCAGCACCTTTCAACCCATCCAAAATTGGAGCATGAACCTAAACTCATTAGCAGGAGGGTACATCTGCCTATCTGAGAGGTCTCCCGAGTTCCCGCAGGAGGATGGAAACCTCTGGAAAGATTATCCCAATGGGCCCAAAGGCAAGCAGAACCGATTCCAAGGGTAAGCCACATCCAAATCATATTCATATAGGGAGAATATGAAAATCCCACCCCCTGCAAGAGGAGCCCCACCTCAAAGGGCACCAAAAGGCCACAAAGGATCAAAAGGGACCCAAGGGCCAAACTCGGACTCACTCCACGCCCCAGAGGTCGCAGTGATGGCCCCGGGGCAAAGTCAGCATCCTCAACACTGCCTGGAATACAGAAGTAGAGTCCGAGGAAAAGACCTCAAAGGAAGAAGGTGCTGGCTGAAAGACCCAGAAGCCTCAGCTAGCCGACTCAACTGCCTCAATGTCCACAATTGAAGGGGCATCCCATGGGACCCGACCGAGCCAAATCCCAAACCCGAAACCCTCAGATGCTTCAGGACTGGAAACAGGAAGGGTGGGTCAGAAAAAGAGCGAACACCACCCACCGGGAAAGGAAGAGGAAGCATGGATGGAACCTAGGTCAAGTTGACCAATGTCTCCAATCCCAGGTCCCCAACATCAACCTGTGTAACTCCAGGTCATCGAACCAGACACAACCTAGACTGCTGTAACCTAGCAAATCAAACTTGTAAAGTGGTCATTGCCTGAAAAGCCCGAACCTCATCAATAGGATCTGAATTGAGTAGTCACATGAGAACAAACCCCACAAGACTCAGGGCTGAGGGTGTTACCAACCCAACAGGCATGGCAGAGGCAGAAGGAATGAACATTGCCATGTGGCATGAACGATGTACAGCTCTCAAACTCACATGAAGTGAGAGCAAGTTCGTGGGGAATATCCAAAGAGACCACTGAACCTGCAGACAATTACTAAGGCCCGAAGGAATTGACCAAGCAGGACCCCAGGCATTGAGACGCTTTGCCAGACCTAAAGCAAACACAGCCAAATTTATACCAACAGAACCAACATTTAAGAGGATGGTGTGTCTCATAATGCAGGAGTGAATTAAAGGATAGAAACAACATTGTAGGCCAACACAGCCTGGCTATGATTGCTGAGAAGGCCTATCTTGACATGCTATAGTGTAGCCTGTGAATAACCAGTACATCAATGCCAGCCAATGTCACTCCCCGACCCGGTGAAGGCAAGAAAATCTGAAGACCTCTGACTCACCCTGGGCGACAGCCACCACATGCTAGGTGAACCTCTAAGGAAGTGCCTCTTGAACACCCCAGGGAAGAGAAGCCTGAAGTGCAAGAAAAGCACTAGGGAGCACACAAGTAAGATAACCTTGTGCACATGCAGTGCCAAGCACACAATACTGCACAGTGTGAAGGAATGCCCACAAAGGCAAAACACCACTAAGTGCAAACTCAAAACACCAGAGTCAAAGCAGCAGAGGGGGTGACGACGCGCACACTACACATCATAGAACTAAGGGCTGTCACTAGCTGACTGCAAGCTACCTCCCCCCAAATGAGTTAGGGAGGTGGGGCAAATGAGCTGGTGTTAGTTTCAAAGCTTTTTGATCATTTGTTTACTCAATTGAGGGAGTTCTATTGCCAGTTCTCGAGGCTTCAGTTTTTTTCTAAAGCCAGCAGTGGTCTGTTTTGTTTTGCTCATTTCTGGGTGCCTTCCCTGGTGGTTGGCATAATAAATAAGTAAATGCCACTGTTCCCTGCACCTCTGTGAGGATGGCCAGGTTCTGTCTCTTGCTCCCTGGTAGGTCATATAGAACTCCATGGCTGATGCGACCTAGTGCAGTAGTTGGCACATGCAGTGATAGTAGCTTCAGGGAGCCACAAGGGGCAACCCCAGAATAGTCTTGGGCCTTTGATGTTGATAGAATTCTCTCTCTCAGCGTACCTATTGCATCTCTGCTTTTCAATGGAGAATTTTGCACAGCCTGCCATTCCTCAAGTTTGTTCCTTGTTTGTGTTACATCTCACCTTTTGAAGAAATTGTCTGGATCAACATCCTCCAAATTGTTCATTATTTCAAACATTATGATGAGATCAGTTCCGTCATGTCTAAACCAGCATTATTTGCTGGTTTAAACCTTCAGCTGCACACCCAATTAGGTGATAGGATTGTATCCCTGGGCCTTGAGGACACGTCCCAATTCATCTGAAGTTCCAGGACCTGGTTAGATTTCATTATGGGGTATCTAGATTTAACCCTTAATCTGCGCATGATATTTTTGTACCAGCTATAAAAAAATTTTGGTTGGATTAACTAGCATTCAGGAAGCATGAAAATGCAAGTAAAAAAGTACAGTATCTACCGTTTAGTAGTTTAGGTGAACTGTAGTGGTCCAGAGAATGTGTTTATTTTTTTAAACATGGCGAGGTGCCACATGTACCTTGTTTATTATTCCAGGGTATGACATACAAAATTCTTGGGAGAACAGACAGGGCAAACAAGGAGAGACTATTTACCATGGATGGTACACAAAGATTACAGGTTGGAGATGATGTACAGTGCCCAAAAAGTCATCGACACATAAGATATTTAGTTGAAGATATGTCAGAACTCACTTGGCTTGGAAACCTATTTACTAGTCACCTGAAGGTTGAGAGGTGCAACCAAAGAACTGATAAATAAATGAACAAATCTTCCCGATTCTGCCTTTCTAAGGCAGCGTCTGGGATGCTCTCGGACGTAGGTTCGAATCCTCGTCACGGCCCTTGTGGATTTGTTCATTTGATGCATCACGCTATTGTGATTTCTGTGTGTAAAGAGCTGATACCTATTCCCATCAAACAAAACTAGGAGAGTACAACAGGAGTACAAAACCATTCTGTATGTCATTTAGTGGCAAAATACCCATACAGCAATGCAAGCAGGTGTACTGTACTTGATCAGTACCCACGGTAGCCCATGCATGCCCTTTCACAATATCAATCACGGATTATGAAGGTCCAGTAATATCTCGTCAAAAAAGGTTGTGCAATCCGTGGTGGTGGAAACAATTCTTTACTAAGAGAATATAATTCAGAATGTAATAATTAGGATAGAACTCTTCAAAGACGTACTAAAAAATTGCATTTTAATTATTTTACAAACTTTAGTTGCAGCTGATGGAATCAAATATTGCATGTAAAGTCAAAACTAAAATTTCATATGAAATCCTATACATCATTTTTGTTCAACAAGCGTTAAAATGGCTTACATACCACGATAAGACAATTCAGGATACTTGTTTTGAATTTCTGCTTGACTCTGCATCATGAAGTTCAGGTATGGTGTTATGGGCCTTTTTGGAGGTTCTGGAATACCCAGCTGCTAAGCAACAGTACTTTTGTAGACGAATGACACCAGTCTAAATTAGAATAGAGTACATAAATATCAGATCAAATACTGTCTTTTATATTATAATTACTTTATAAATATATAAATTACAAAATACAATGCAGAACTGTCAACTTATTCTTACCACAAAATTTACTTATAACATTGTTATTTCAAAACCAATTTAGACATCTTTCAGTTTATACACCATGATTTTAGAATCATCTTCCCCGTGGCACAATGGTAAGACACTTGCTCCACGCTTCGCAATCAATTTAGCCTGGGATCGTATCCTGGCTGGGGAGGATTGACAAGGTGCCAATCCTTATCAGTACACTTCTGTTCACTAAGCAGTGAATGGATACCTGGTTGATAAATGATTTGGTGGGTCGTATTCCAGGGAAAATTAAGATTAAGGACCTACCCGAAATGCCGTGCATGCTAGTGGCTTTACAAGAATGTAAGAACTCTTGTATGAATTTTTTTTTAACAAACTACCTGGAAGCAAACAGTACTAGGCTTTGCAATGCCTCCTACATTATTATGGCACTGATGTTCTCGCTACACTATATGACTATGCTTCAGAGAAAAAGATTTAAAAAATTAATCCTACAGTACTAGATTATGTTCCTTCAATAACTCTTATACTGTACAGTACTTAGACCTCTCTCTCTCTCATGATACTCCTTCCCAACCATCACTGTCCACCACAACTTTGCCTACCTCTCTAAATTAGCTAATATACAACTAATATAAACTGTGAACCCGTTGGCCCCGACTCGAATTTCTAAGCTGGCTCTCGGTAGCTCCCCAGTGCACTGGTACCACAGAGTCGTTCACAAAACTACCAAGCCTCTAGGCTTGCATAAGCCTACCAAACACTAGGATCTGGTGTGCTCATGAAGGTGAGGGGGAACATGTTAATATAAAGTCAACTTCATAACTGAGTAAAACTGCCAAGAAAGAACAAACAAAAGCAAAATATAATCAATTTAATCATAAATAACTAAAATAAAAAAAGTAAAATAATAACTTTATTCAAAACAGAAATATTCTCACTCTCATGATACTCCTTCCCAACCATCACTGTCCACCACAACTTTGCCTACCTCTCTAAATTAGCTAATATACAACTAATATAAACTGTGAACCCGTTGGCCCCGACTCGAATTTCTAAGCTGGCTCTCGGTAGCTCCCCAGTGCACTGGTACCACAGAGTCGTTCACAAAACTACCAAGCCTCTAGGCTTGCATAAGCCTACCAAACACTAGGATCTGGTGTGCTCATGAAGGTGAGGGGGAACATGTGAACATAAAGTCAACTTCATAACTGAGTAAAACTGCCAAGAAAGAACAAACAAAAGCAAAATATAATCAATTTAATCATAAATAACTAAAATAAAAAAAGTAAAATAATAACTTTATTCAAAACAGAAATATTGTCAACAAACCATGATTTCATGTAGAAGCACACCACCACCAGATGGCAGCTCAGGTCTCACAAGGGTTCAGCCTACCTGCATGTTTTACCCGAGTGCGAAAAGACATGTGAATTCAGAGACAATTCTATAACCAATGTTCCAACAATGTGTAAATATTTCATTCAAAATGATTTGCTACCAGAAATTTTAGCCAAATACCCCCAGTTTGCAAACTGTAGGTAATAACCAAGTGATTGTAACCTATCCACTGCTGCCCAATGGAGTTGGGGGGGGGGGGGGTGGTGTGCAGGACAAACATATCAATTGTAACACTAGCTCTCCACATATGTCAGCTGCTTAATTTAGAAACTGTACTTGTGGTCAATCTCTAACCCATTGATAAAGTGACAACTTATACTGAATTTTGTAACTAGCTCATCAAGATTGTAACTTGTTTAGCTAAATGAATTGTGGGGTTCAGTCCCTGAGCCCATTATGTGCCTCTGTAACCCTTTCCACTACCGCCCACAAGATGGGTATGGGGTGCATAATAAATTAACTAAACTGTATTTATGCTATCCATCTTGCATGTCTTCAGCTCTTTAGTTCACCCAGACTTTGTTTCACAGTTATTTTCTCTGGTGTCAGCTTGCATTTCTCGTTTTCTCACCCGAGTTACGTATTCTCTGAGGGGTTCGGGTGTCCTTTTCTTTCAGCACAAAGGTAGTGCTGCATGCACCAGAGTGACTGACACCCCAGGAACCATACCACCAGAACAAAAACCTGACAATAGCTGAAAGGATGCACCCACTACTGCCAAGACACATGAAACCACCACCACCACCTCCTCCTCCTCTGGAGGAGGAAAAAAAAAAAGGGGGGGGGGTAGCAAACTGGAGGATGACTCCTCAAGCAGACTCCTGGAGAGAATCTAACATGTAAAGCCAGCAGGTTCAACAAGTTGCAAAGGTGGTCTGTACATGAATACCTGCAGTGTAATGTCTAATAAACACTAAGGAAAACAGAAGTCATCCAGTTGTACAGATATCTGTCCCTAACTGGACAACTGCATCCAAACATGGAGACCTCACCTATAGACAGACAAAAATGTACTGAAAATGTTCAGAGCAGTGAAGAAAATCATCTCAAAATGAAGTCAACCACTAATATTATATCAGGAAAGGCTGGAGACCACAGGACTAATAAACTCAGAAAACAACAAGACACAGCTAATCTAATAAAAAAGCCATGCAATCAACACTACATTAAAAGGCATATAATCAACACCTTTATAATACTGAACAAATTATATGTTAATCCACACCACTAACTCTCAGAGTGTAGTTATCATCAAAATTGTCATCCTAAAAGTATGAACAAAAAATTATTATACTGGCTTTTCTTTGGAATACAGGTCAGGACTAAAATCTTTGAATATGTTAAATATCATCAATGCACATCCCCTGAAATGTACTCTTATATCTAAAACTCTGCACTGCAATGCAATGCAAATCCTGACTTCAAGCACTTCCTAGAGGTCTGTAACAGAACCCATGGGCACCACACTAGAAGCAAATATCTTTGTGAAATTTCTAGAGTGAGACTCAAAGAAGAAATGCTATGCTTATCAAGAATTCCAAACTGTGGAATGACCTCCCAAATGTGATTAAAAGCTGAACCCCTCCCAACTAGTTAAGAGAAACTAAGTAGTATCTATTTAACATCATGTAATAAATCTATTTAACATCATGTAATAAATCTCGCTCTCATTTCTTCATAAAAAAAAAAAACAAAAAAACGTGTGTTTTGCTGTTATGTATTTTAATGTTTAGGCACTAAAAATGCATGCCAATACTTTATCATTAAGTGCCACCTGATTACTGTACGTCATTTGTTAAATTTTTTATTTGTTACATATGTTAAGTTTGCTTCTTTATTATTAAATATTTACCATGGAGATCAAAACCTTCAAAACATTTTTACCGATTTATTTTGTTATACGTGAAACTCTTGGTATTCTAGTGGCTTTACTAAAAATTCACCTTCATATATTTTTTGCTGTTATTACTAATGTTCAATACTATATCTGCTCTGTTGAAAAAACTACAGATTCTATAATGTCTAGGCCAATTATCATTATCACTTTATATTGTTTACCAAGGTATCATTTGCTAAATTTCTTGAGCATTTCACTTGGCATACTTCTCGTTTAGTATTAAGCGTTTACCCCAATTATGCCTATACAATTTTTTACAAGAATTAATCTAAGTTTTGGCCAAAACACTTTGTGTATTAGTGGCTTTATTTAATATGCAACCTCTGTACCTTCAAATATACTTCTGTATTACATTCTTATGTATGCATATTTTATGAATAAATCATTATCATTATTAATACAACAAACTGCTTGGGATACGAATAATATAATAATGAGCTCGATGAAACGGACACTATCAATGCAATTATCTGAAAAAAGAAACATTACAGTACAGTATTACTAAATTAATCTTACGGTAAGGTCCTGGCGAGTAGTGTAGGCCTACACAGGCCTCCAGGCTGCGCATACACAGCCCGTAAGAACATTGCTCAGTACAGCTGCCAGTATTTCCTACAATGCAGAGAAATCAGTGCTCAGTGGAAACTTGCGATACTAAGACAAGAACTGTATGTTCTTTATGGTATGTGCAGTTTCTTCTTCTTTATGGTATGTGCAGTTTCTTCTTCTTTATGGTATGTGCAGTTTCTTCTTCTTTGTGGTATGTGCAGTTTCTTCTTCTTTATGGTATGTGCAGTTCTTCTTTATGGTATTGCAGGTCTTCTTCTTTATGGTATTGCAGTTCTTCTTCTTTATGGTATGTGCAGTTCTTCTTCTTTATGGTATGTGCAGTTCTTCTTCTTTATGGTATGTGCAGTTCTTCTTCTTTATGGTATTGCAGTTCTAATTCTTCTGTATGGTATGTGCAGGTTCTTCTTCTTCCGTATGTTATGTACAGGTTGCGTCAACTGGTATTGTTGTTGGTTGAGGGTCGACGACAAACAATTACGTCAACTGTATGTTCTGAGAGACGAGCGCTCACTGATGCATCTGTATACGTTCTTATAGTTGTGAAGCCATTAACACGACCACGTTCGCTGAATAAATAAGGTTATTAATACATAGAAAAGCATTAAGATATATTTAACAATTAAAAATATATATACTTTTTAATAATATCAAATGTACACTTAACTCATTTCTTACTCAGTAAGATCATTAAATGAAATAAATTATATTGCTAAAGTCAGAGCCAAATTAAAACATTCGGAATCTGCAGCACCAATGTAAACAAGGTTTCCGTGGGAGATTTAAAAGTTGCTTTAATTGACACGTTGTTTTATGTATTTAGACACGAAAAAGTAGCAATGAGTCATATAACAATCTTTATGCGAGTTTCTTGCAAGAAACGCTAAGCTTATAGTAGTATAATATACAAATACTTTAATTACTTGTTAACACCTAAATCTGATTATTTAAAACCCGGCTGTAATTACCTAAGTGTAGTTACAGGATGAGAGCTATGCTCGTGGTGTCCCGTCTTCCCAGCAATTTTTTTTATATATTATTGTGAAACTACTAACTTTTTTTGGCCTCCACCACCACCTCCCTTAATTTGTTCCAACCGTCTACCACTCTGTTAGTGAAACGAAATGTTTTTATATTTCTTCGACAGGTATATTTAGTTTGCTTAAATCTATGACCTTTTGTTCTTGAAGAGGAATTCTTTTATATCAATTTGTCAATTCCCGTTACTATTTTGTACGTAGTGATCATATCGCCTCTTTTTTTTTCTCCTCTCTTCTAGTTTTGGCATATTTAATGCCTCTAACCTCTCCTCATTGAGTGGCCACTTCCTGGTTCTGGGATAATGTCACCTACTGTGAGGGGCCCATCCACAGCTGGACCCCACAGTCAACTGGATCAAAATGAGACAGATCGCAACGTCAGCCTCCCTATCACCTCGCCTTTGGGTCGCTTCACTGTTCATGCAGCGGCTTCCCTGCGTGACCAGTTGCAGGAATACCAGCAGCATTCACAGCAGGAGACGGAGCGGCTGCGAGAGCAGCTCCAACATGAGAAAAAATCCACCAGCGACATTGCAGTGATGGTCACGTGTATGAGGGAACTTGTAAGCAATGACTCCCATCCCTCCCCTTCCACCCCTGAACCCTCCAAACATGTGTTCGCTTGCCTATCAGGGAAAACTTCTAGTGATCTTGAAACCTTGTGTAGTGGAGCCCTTCCACGCAGGTTAACTGCCAACGCTGTGTTAAGGTATGTTCAAAACGACTCTATAGCTGAAAATGACAGATAAATTGTATTAGCCAATTGGAGGCAAATGTGTGACATTGGTAATAAACTAAGAAATGTTCCTGGACTTATATTGTATTGAAATAGATAATATATATTAAGTGGACTAATAATATCAATCTATATAATGCTTACTGTAAATGCACAATTAACTAAGTTATCCATCCTTAGCTGGAATATTGCATCCCTCAAAAAAGGTTCTCAGATTTACATCACAAAGTAACAACTGAACACATCGATATTGTATGTGTCCAGGAGTGCAGAGTTCCCGCAAGATCCTCACCCCCGAAATTGCCCTCATTTGTTTCTTACAACCTCAGATCCAGTAACTCTTGCATTTTATATATTAAACAATCCCTATCCCATCAACTTCTGCCAGAAAAACAAACTGCCGGTCAACAGTATCATGGAGTGAGGATCTATGTGGGCAACTCTGTCCTCAATGTATTTAATCTATATGCTCCAGCAGGAAAGTTAAATTATATTGATCTACCGGCCTGCGCTCAAGCAGAGCCCACCATCATTCTTGGTGACTACAATGCTAGACACAAGGACATTGGTGGCTCTCGCTTCAGTAACGGTAATGGGAATCAATTACTGTCGCTACTAAATAGTCACCAAGATGTGCAGATTGTGGGCGACCTTGAACCCACGCATATTTGTGGAGGCATTTTATACCTCTGTGTTGGTTTCAACGTCTTTCACGTCTGGTGCACATTATCTATTGTAACAGATTTGTTGTCAGATCATCACCCTAGATTGACTACTCTATGTATCGGACACAGTATTCCTCCTGCTCGACGTGAAGACTTTGTTGCTTATGTGTCAGAGTGGTACAGCACTTATGATCCCTCCACAGTCCAGACATTTAACGACGGTCTAGTACAGAGCATTCAGATGTTTGCTGACCCTTTAGGTCGGCCTCCTGCATCCAATAGTCAGAACGATATGAAAAGTAAAAAACACCATGCCTATTACAATGACCCCAAACTGCGTACATTGAAACGCACTGCCAAAAGAATTGGACTTGCATATAGGGAAACACGTACGCCGGCAATGCTAAAGCTCTTTCAGAAAGCCCTAGCCAAGGCGAGGGAGTGCATGACAGAGCTCAGGCAAGATAACTGGGAAACTTTTGTTAACAGTCTCAACTCTCACACCCCACTCAGCAAGACATGGAAGGATATTAAAAGAATTAAAGGCGATAAGCTCGGCCAAGTACCACACCCTCACTCTCTACACTGAGCAAACGAGTTAGTCGATGCTTGGGCAACCACCTCTAGCTTCAATAATCTTCCCCCAGACACACAATTCAGGTTAAATGCTGGTTACGGAGATCGAGAGAGGCTCGTTGACTTCATGCTCCACAAGGAAGATGAATGCAACGAACCATTTACTGAGTTTGAGTTACTTTCGGCCCTAAACAAAGGTAAAGCCACATCCCCCGGTGAAGATGGTATCACTTATGACATATTGCGTCTGCTCCCTTTAGTACCAGGGAATCCCCTGCTTGAGCTGTATAATATGAGCTATGTTACTGGGGAACTTCCTATCTCTTGGACCAACAGTATAATCATTCCAATTCCCAAGCCAAATCAAGAGAATGCTTTCCGCCCAATTTCCCTTACTAGCTGTATTTGCAAAACATTCGAGAGAATGGTCCTAAACCGTCTCCTCCATAGAATAAGAACCATGCTATCCCCCCAGATATATGGCTTTATGCATGTAAGGAGTGTGCATCATTGCAACACCACCTTTCTTATCCTGCACACTGACAGGTCATATACCACCTTCCTAGATCTCAAGTCTACCTTTGACATTGCAAACCGACATGTTATCTTGAGTGAGTTTGCGAGAATGAATATTGGTGGTCGGCTTCTTTGTTGGATCAGGGGTTACTTATCCAACAGGAAGTCATCTGTATTTTTCCAGGGGCGGAGGAGTGTAACAAGAGACTTTGAACTAGGTACTCCACGGGGAGGTGTCCTCAGTCCTACCTTATTTAATATCATAATAAACACGCTGTTAAACTCTGTACCGAGCAAACCCAACGTCCACATCATTAGAGATGGCTATGCTGATGATCATCCCAATGAATTAACTTAATTAACCCCCTGTCAACTAGTGGGGCTAGGTATCCTAAGTCTCCTTGGTTCATTTTCTGACTTAATTTTTAACTTACTCTTACCTAGTCATTTACCGAAATTATTTAATTGAGTTATTAAGTAGTTCTTCAGGTCTTTTTAATTATACAGTCATTACTGAACTATCTATAGTTATTAATCATTAGCTTAAATTTGCCTATGTTTATTATTCAACTTTTCTTTGATTTCATTTATTACCTAGGTTGCCTAGCCTTGCCATGCTCCCTTACTCCATTGTACCCCTGGCTTTGCCTGCATCTCAAATTGCAAATTGTTACTTACAGTGTACCTGTGAGTACTCGTAAGCAATCTACCTCATTTTTGCTCAATTTGGTTTTTTTTTTGTATTGCTTAGTCTTGCTTATATTTTTTGTTTTGTATTTCCATATCTTGTGTATTGTATAGTCCATGTTTACATGTTTTTTCTTTAATCTCATTAATTGCCTAGGTTGCCTAGCCTAGCCATACTCCCTTACTCCATTGTACCCCTGTAAGCCCCTTTTGTGTTTGTTTTGTGCAGTATTGTGTATATATTTTTCCCTATTTTATAGCTTTTTTCTTCTTATTTCTGATTCTACAATCAGCTTCTTTTATGCAGTCAAGTATAGACCCAGAACTTAACCTCTTATCCACTATCTATGACAATAATCACTTTAATGATCTAAATTGCAGATATTTTGCAGCACATGATGTAAACAATGTATTAACTCATAATCACAATATCTCTGTAATCAATTTGAACGTTAGATCCCTAGGTAAACACTTCGATGATGTTAGTGCCTTGATTGAAACTATTGGCAACAAATTCTCTTTTATTATACTTACTGAAACATGGTTGAAAGAGGATACTACTCAACTCTTTAACATGCCTAACTACTCAGCAATTCACAACTGTCGTCAACTTCAGAGAGGTGGTGGCACTGCTCTTTACTACCACCAAGAACTAACATGCTTAAAAGAAATTAGAACTAGAGACTGCTATGGGGAGTATATCTTCGCCAGCTTCAGAGTCAAGGGTGCCGAGTCTGTCCTGTCTGTGGGTGCAGTCTATAGAATTCCCAACACTGATGTGTCTGTATTCAACTCAAACCTTAGAAATCTAATACTTGATAACAGACTGAACAAAAACCACCTAATTATCGCAGGGGACTTTAATATTGACCTCTGCGAGCCAGAACACCCTACTGCTGTTAGCTTCCTCAACTGTATGAATTCCTGCCTCCTCATACCCTTAATCACTAGACCTACTAGAATCACTGATAGCACTGCCACGACTCTAGATCACATCTGGACCAACATAACCTCTCCGCTTACTTCAGGTATAATCACCGATAGCACTACAGACCACTACCCCACATTTCTCTTAACTAACATTAGCAAACCACCTCTAGAAACTAGGGAGTTAAGCTTTAGGCTGCACAATGAAACTGCTATAAACAATTTTATAACTGCTGCTAATAATGTCAACTGGGAGTCCGAATTAGGTAACATAGGGGACATCAACCTAGCAGTGCAATCTTTTCTACAAACAACTCTTAGCCTTTATAACACCCACTGTCCTAGGCTTACAAAACAAGTCACAAGCAAAAGGCTTAACAATCCTTGGCTTACAAAGGGAATACTGAAATCCATTAACAAAAAACACGACCTTGAGAAGAAGTATAGGTTAGGAATTGTCTCCAAAGAATTCTCAAAGAATTACTCATTATTGCTAACTAAGATAATTAGACGAGCCAAAACTAATTACTACGAAGATAAATTTACTCAAATAAAGAGCAACATTAAACAAACTTGGAGCACAATTTCACAAATATTGGGATCAAAGAAATCTTTAAATAACAAACCGACTCTCCTGTCTAACAACGATGGTCAGCTTTCAGCCTCTGATTCTGCTATTGAGTTCAATAGGTTCTTCTCTTCCATTGGTTCATCCCTTGCAAATGATATTCCATCTTCCAGTACTGACATTAAGGACTATCTTACAGGTAACTATCCACAGTCTCTGTACCTAAAGCCTATTAACTCCACTGACGTCAATGAGATAATCCTTTCCCTTAAAACCAAGTCTGGTGCCCTTGAGGAGATACCAACTTTAATTTACAAAAAAGCCTCCAGATCTTTAGCCCCTGCTATTGCTTTGCTCTTCAACAAGTCACTTGAACTCCAAACCTTTCCTGATATTCTAAAAAAAGCGAGAGTAACGCCTGTCCACAAATGTGGTGACCCCACAGATGTTAACAACTACAGACCTATATCAATCCTGCCAAACTTGTCAAAAATTTTTGAAAAACTTATATACAAGCAGCTTTACTCATATCTAGCCAAACTCAATATACTTAGCCCTTGCCAATATGGCTTCAGACCCAAAAAAGCACTAACGATGCACTTATTAGTATGCTTAACTCGATTCATACAGCTCTTGATAAAAAGGAGCTCCCTGTTGGGTTATTTGTGGACCTGCGTAAAGCTTTTGATACTGTCAACCACCAAAACCTTCTTCTTAAATTACATCATTATGGAGTCAGAGGACACTCCCTACAATACCTCGAGTCCTACCTTACTGACAGGCTCCAATATGTTTCTGTGAATAATACAATTTCTCCCACCCTACCCATCAACATTGGTGTTCCTCAGGGCAGCATACTTGGCCCTCTCCTCTTTCTCATCTACATTAATGACCTTCCAAATGCCTCCCAACACCTCAAACCAATTCTATTTGCTGACGACACAACCTTCATTTACTCCAGTCCTGACCCTCTTGCTCTAAATGCCACAGTAAATACTGAGCTAAATAAAGTCCATCTTTGGCTAACTGCCAACAAACTCACCCTTAACATTGACAAAACCTTCTATATTCTGTTTGGCAATAAATCCTCTAGTCTTATAAATCTCAAAATAAACAATACCCAAATTTGTAACAAATTAGATGGCAAATTCCTTGGCATTCTCATTGACCACAAGCTGAATTTCCAGGGACACATTCTAAATATATCAAAAAAAGTTTCAAAAACTGTGGGCATTCTTTCTAAGATCAGATATTATGTACCACGCCCTGCTCTGGTGACTCTCTATTACTCCCTTATCTATCCTTATCTCAACTATGGAATTTGTGCTTGGGGTTCTACTACCCAAAATCACTTACGTCCTCTAATTACCCAACACAAAGCCGCTATTAGAACAATATCCAACTCTGGCCCCAGACATCACTCGGTACCCCTACTCAAATCTCTTAATATGTTAGATATTAAGTCACTGCACATTCTCTCATGTGTATTATAAATGATACACACCACTGGGTATACTAATACGCAGAACACTCTTAACTCTGTATTAGACACATGTCAGGACCAAGACTCATTTAGTTATCTCAGCAGAGAAAACAAAGATACACAATCGGCGTCCACGCAGGCAGGGAGGAGCTGTTCACAAGATGCAACTGTCTGATAGCTCCCAGCTTGACTATGTTAATAGATTCAAATACCTTAGCCTTGAGGTGCCACTGTATGGTGCTGTTGTATTCAGACAATGTCGTCAGTATAAAGAGAGGCTCAGAGCTCTCCAGGCTGTTGCAGGTTATCACTCAGGCTATGGTGCCAATGTCAGAATTGTAAAAATGATGTACCTTGCATTTATCAGATCTTTAGTTGATTATGCTGCACCTCTGCTTGTTTTGATGCCTGAAAGAAAGCTTGGAGGGCTTGAAAAATTGCAGAACGAAGCCTTGAGGATAATCCTTGAGTGCCCTCGTACCACAAAGATACTTAACATGAGAAAGGAACTTAATATTCCGAGCGTCGTTGATCATTTTACTGAAATTAACTGTCAAATTGGTATAAAAAATACTTAGGCTTACTCATCCTAATCCTTGCACAGAAACCCTCCAGAATTTTTTTATTGAAGGTCACCATTGTTCCAAATGGATAACTAAAACTGGAACTCAACTCAGAATGTATCAGATTTATAATTTGTACCAAGAGAGAAAACAACAACACTTTCCTGCACCATGGGAGATTACACCCTTTCCAATTTTAATCCCTCCCTTTCCACCAAAGAAGCAAATTAGAGATCAGCCCAAGCTTCGTCTTGAGGCAAAGCTCAACGCCTTAAGCCATATTGATGCTCTGTCCACAGATCATTCTCTCTCTCAAATCATATACACTGATGGTTCCCTACACCGCCCCACGGGTGCAGCTGGAAGTGCAGTTGTCCTGACAATGGGCGATGGCTTATATTTTGAGTGGGGAGTCCGTATAAACAACTGGGCCTCTACCATTTAGACCGAACTATTTGCCTTGCTTTTTGGTGTACAAGTCTCCAAAATTGATACATTAATTGTAAGTGACTCTTTATCATCCTTAATTGCTCTTAACTCTTTAAGACTGTAACATGCTCGTGTCTGAAGCTAGACACAAATATAACAAAATTAGTAATGATGGTAACAGAGTCCATTTCATGTGGACCCCATCTCATGTTGGCCTCCGAATGCATGATAGAGCTGATGAGTTAGCCAAAGAACCTGCCTTTAAAGGAGAAATTGAGTATAAAAACCTTGGATTGTCAATAAGCAATCTGAGAGCAGCAGTACACCGAGAACTTCAACAAAATCTTGTAGATCTGAGGTAACGTGACATCGACACCAGTAATTCCCTCTATCATCATACTATCATGCAAGTGGAGCCACACATCTATGGTTCATCCAATAAAATCAGCAGACTTCTAGATGTTACTACTGCTCGGCTTAGACTCGGTTACAAGTATGTCTGGGAATTCTCATTATCTGCTGATGGTAGACCTGACCAAATGTAAACTGTGTCAACAAAATTATTCGCACACCCTCCGTCACTAATGTGATGGAGCGCGAAAAAATACGTGAATTCAGAGACAATTCTATAACAAATGTTCCAAAGATGTGTAAATATTTCATTCAAAATTATCTGCTACCAGAAATCTTAGCTAAATATCCCCAGTTTGCTAATTGTAAGTAGTAACTAAGTGACTAACCTATCCACCGCTGCCCACTGGATGGGGGGGGGGGGGGGGCAGCAGTGGATAGGGGGACAGCGGTTTCTAAATTAAGCAGCTGACATGTCAGTTGCTTAATTTAGAAACTGTACTTGTGGTCGATCTCGAACCCATTGATGATGTGACGATGTACATTGAATTTTGTAATTCGCTCATCAAGATTGTAACTTGCTTAGCTAAATTAATTCTGGGGTTCAGTCCCTGAGCCCATTATGTGCCTCTGTAAACCTTTCCACTACCGCCCACATGATGGGTATGGGGTGCAATAATAAATATACTAAACTAACTTTTATGAATTATTGAAAAAAGAAGCTAGATTTAAGTGGACAGTAAGAGAGGAGAAGGCCTTCGGGAATATTAACCAGTCTATAGATTCTCCAGTGGTCACTAATTTTATTGGTAAACTCTCTTTAAAACTGGAGGTAGATGTTTCCCCAATAGGAGTAGGCTGTGTATTATTACAGGAAGTAGATGATTAGGATAAAGTAGTGTATTTTGTTAGCAAGAAATGATCTCCTGCAGAACAGAATTATTCTCAGTTAGACAAAGAAGCCTTAGCTTTGGTATATGCTGTAAAAAACTGAGATATTTTCTGCTTGGGTAGGAAATTTCTTGCTAGAAGAGACCACAAACGCCTGCTAGGATTGACTGGGAGAGGCAAACAAATTCCAGTTAATGCTAATGCTAGAATTCAACTAGAAAATGTATGTGGATACAACTAACCCTATGGACTCTGCAGTTAGTAATTCAGAAGAAGGTTCCCCAGAAGTAACAGGTCTGGAGTCCCAGTTGAGGAAATCAGGAAGAGTCATTCGACCGCCTGATAGACTTAACCTATAGAGGAGAGTTTAATTAAAAGGGGAGGAATGTTAGGAATAAGGAATTTTGTAGGATTCACGATTCTTCGCGGCGGGGGTCGTATTCCAGGGACCTGCCCGAAACGCTACGCGTACTAGTGGCTGTACGAGAATGTAACAACTCTTGTATATATCTCAAAAAAAAAAATAAGTACAGTACTACATTGTAGGTTAGGTGTATTATGTTTTGAGCAGATGCTCTTTTGTTTATGAGCATTGTAAATAGTAAGTCATGTAACGTATACCGGTGACGTCATTGTTTGTTGTTGTTGGAATAAAGCCATGTGGAGCACACATTAGTTTCTCTTCCTGGCTAAACATTACATGAACCAATCTTGTTTCCTTGTTCTGCATCTTTGACCTGCCCGAAACGCTGCGCGTGCTAGTGGCTTTACAAGACTGTAATTACCATATTTGTATCCTCACATTCCTTATGTACATTCTTGTATATGCATAAATAAATAAATAAATAAATTTGTTTTAGTATAAATTTTGTTGTGCCTTTATCGTTTATTTCACAAAAGTTGACAAACATCTCATTTACTTCCTTGCCTAAAGTCTTCCCAATGAAATTCATTAAAGACCTTTCTAAGTTCCTCATAATGTCCTCTCCTAAAATCAGGTTTTTCAGCTGCTTCACTTTCCTCATTTTCTTGTAGATTATAACTATAATCATTCTCTTCTAGAGTATAATGTAGGACATCACAATGACTTAGTGGTCAGAATTCCCATTGGTTTCCTTGTCTGAAAAGAATGAATATCTGTAAAAGAAGAATGAGGACCCGGAACCAACAAGTTTAACTTACAAAGAAAGTTCTGTACAAAATTGTGTTACATTCTGAATGCACTAATGATAATGTGTAATAGTTGAACTAATGCAACTATTACACAGTATTCAGAGGTGAATGGAATAACCAGTGCAAATGGGTTTAAAAATAAAAAATGCTCATAATTTTATTATAAAATATAATTGTACATGAGAATCCTGTACACAGTGAAATACATCATTTCTGAATACTTATTACAGCATTTAACCTAAAAAAAATGGCTGAATTAACAAATTTGTGGTGTATTAATGAAATCCTGTGCTTAAAACACATATGTGAAGGTGAGAATAACTTAAGCTACTTCATCCCCTTTTGTGTATATATATCTCAATAAACTTATTTCAGTTTCAATCACACAAATTTGTTTTCAAAGAGTAGTGTTTCACCGTGAATTTCCTTCTTAACTTCTGTGCTTTCATCCACTAATGATGGAGACATTTAAAGACAGACTCCATCATCAAGTTGAATTGAACTTGATGATGGAGTCTGTCTTTAAAAACATCTAAAACTAGAATGTTTAATTTTAGTGTTGGCTTTACTGTTCAATGTTTCCCACCAAGATTTTAGAAGTATAAAATAATGTACAGTAATTGTGTATTGCACTTTTAACTGTTGAATAAAGTGATCTAATTTTTTGTCCACAAGTTCAGGTTATATTATACTGTACTATACTGACGACGACGAGTCACAATAACGTGGCTGAAGATATGACGACCAGACCACACACCAGAAGATGAGGAGACGACCACGTTTCGGTCCGTCCTGGACCGTTATCAAGTCAGTCAAGACCATTATCACATTCGGCTTTATAAAATAAAGAGGGATAGGTGTAAAAAATGGGTGAAAGAGGGGTAATAACAGAAGTAAGAATGGGAATGTAAGAAAAGGAAGAGAAAGAAATAGAGAAAAAAAGGGAAGGGTAGGCTTATGTTAGGTCACGTTTGTTAGAAAGTTTAGAACATTTGAGTATATACTGTGAGAGGGAAGAGTCAACAGCAACAAAGCCAGGACTCAGGGTCATGTTGGGTAGGTTGTGTATCAGAGCAACAAGACGGCGTCTGTGTAGAGTAGAGGCAGGAAAGATTATTTTAGAAGAAGACCAATCAATAGAATGATTAGAATCCCTTACATGACTGAAGAGAGTATTGTTAGTGTCTGCAGATTTAAAACTTGTTCTGTGTTCTTTAAGTCTGCCATTAAGAGTACGGCCTTATACACTTAATGTGTTAAGTGTATGGTGAGGACAAGGTGTAATTGTCCTCACCAAAGTATAGGTGAGGACAAGACGAACAGGAAATATAGTAGACACCAGCAGCATTAGAAGCAGAAGTGTGAACCAGATTAGTATGATAGGATAGGAACTATGAGGAGAAAGCACCAATCCATTACGACTATATAGCAGCTGGAAGGGGTCAGGATTTGGGATGGGACGGTGGGGGAGGAATGGTGTCCAACCACTTGTGGACGGTCGGGGATCGAACGCTGACCTGCGTGAAGCGAGACCGTTGCTCTACCGTCCATGAGTCTCATCACAATCGACTTAATAATGGTACAGGACGGACCGAAACGTCGTCGTCTCTTCATCTTCTAGTGTGTGGTCTGGTCAACATTTTGTTTCCAACTACTATACTAAAAATAAATGATTTAAAATTAAAACATACCTCTCATTTGAAGATTCTAGGAGCCACTCATTTTTGACGATAGTTTTATTAACTGGCTCTTGCCCCATTTTGGAATTGCCAATTGTCCTTGGGAGGTTCTATATCATTGCTGACCTCAACAGCTGCGTGCCTTTCACCCGTTAAGGCGAGACCCGTGTTAGAGCTGTCTGGTTCTGGGTATGGTACTTGTTCCCTTCCTGTATTCTCGTGATCTACCTTCAGTAGTGCTTGCTCCTGTGACTGCTCCTGCACATCCTGTAGGTGGTAAGGGCTTACTCGAGGAATATCGACCAAAAGGGCGGGGTCTATTGCCTCTTCTCCAGGTTTAGCATAGGCCATATGCTCCTCCAATGTATAGCCATAAAGCTGAAAGTCCATTTTGTATTTTTTGAACAACTCTAAAACCTGTGTTAAAGTGAGTTCTGAGAAGTATTGCCTCCGTATCTCTGGAGTGAGGGTGTAGACAACGTAGTCAGTGGTGTTGAGTGTCCCAAAACCAGCTCTTTTCCACGCCCACTGTACATCATTCCAGAGGGTCTCGTATTTAGTGACCATGTTGTATCCTATATGGCAAGGTGTACAGCGGCGCATCGTGGGCTGCCATGCGTCTTCCAGGTGGTGTGTGTCGTGTGCCAATAAAAACCTGACAAATTCCTCAAAGGTTGGCCCTTTGCCGTGGCCTGGTGCCTGACGGTAGGTTCGAACAATACGGCGTCCGTAGTGCAAATATCCGTGAGGATTTTTCTCTGGGTCCTCTAATATATGGCGGTAAGAGGCTAGAAGGCGATCAAAAGGATGGCGGGCCATTAAGATTGTCAAAGATTTTGCCAGCACAATTGGATACTTTTCCCACGAGCTTAAATATGGAAAATTGTGTCTGGCGATAGCAGCTGGAGGCTCATGAAGTCTGTGTAACTGGTGTTCCTCGAACCTGCCTGTAAGCCGAAGAAGACGCCGTGCAAGCCACTGGATCCCATTCCGGGCTGCCGGACACACAGCTAGATGATGTTTCTCTGATACCAATAGTGCTTGGTATAGAGGCGACTTTGGCATAGTGGCCAGCGTAGCCATGACATCAGCGCTTATATTTGTGCTCTTGTTACTTGACCACAGTCCCAAGTTCCACCTGCAACGAGAACATCTCACATGTTAATGAACAAATCCACAAGGGCCGTGATGAGGGTTCGAACTTACGTCCGGGATGATCCCAGAAGTGGGTTCGAACTCTCATCACGGCCCTTGTGGATTTGTTCATTTGATGCATCACGTTATTGTGATTTCTGTGTGTATTCACATGTTGTACAGTAGTAGTGCACATTTCAGGCTTAATTCAGTATAATGTAACATTGGATATACAGCATTTTAATTACAGCCAAGAATGACCTACAGTTAGTCTCTTCATAAACTTGAGCCCAATAAGGTCCTCTCCAACACCATAGGCTGACTGCCAAGTGGCGTCACTGGTCGAGTACCACTCCCACTATTATACAGTACATCTCTCCTCACCACCACCACACACTTCACACCTGCATCTTCCTCCCTTTCTCAACCATTTAACTAAAAGCAACAGGACAAATATAAAGAAATTCAAAAAATCAAGCAAATTGGACAGTTTTCTATAAGAAGTGCTGGACCAACCGGGCTGTGGTGAATATGTGGGCCTGCGAGCCGTTCCAAGCAACAGCCTGTTGGACCAAGCTCTCACATGTCAAGCCTGGGCTCGGGCCAGGCATGGAGAGCAGAACTCCTAGAATCAATTCCAGGTACAATCCAGGTATAGACACAGATCTTATAGATCTGTGTCTATACCATGGAGTGATTGCCTATAAAATGCTGTCTAAATTAATAACAGCAAAAGTGAGGAGATAGATATAAGGAAAAACAGTTTATAGAGAATAAAAGTAAACCATTCATAACACAGTCTACACACGGGTAAATGTTCAGTGGTACAAGACAGTCCTCCCACCAGTAATGTTCAGTGGTACAAGGCAGTCCTCCCACCACTAATGTTCAGTGGTACAAGGCAGTCCTCCCACCACTAATGTTCAGTGGTACAAGGCAGTCCTCCCACCACTAATGTTCAGTGGTACAAGGCAGTCCTCCCACCACTAATGTTCAGTGGTACAAGGCAGTCCTCCCACCAGTAATGTTCAGTGGTACAAGGCAGTCCTCCCACCAGTAATGTTCAGTGGTACAAGGCAGTCCTCCCACCAGTAATGTTCAGTGGTACAAGGCAGTCCTCCCACCAGTAATGTTCAGTGGTACAAGGCAGTCCTCCCACCACTAATGTTCAGTGGTACAAGGCAGTCCTCCCACCAGTAATGTTCAGTGGTACAAGGCAGTCCTCCCACCACTAATGTTCAGTGGTACAAGGCAGTCCTCCCACCACTAATGTTCAGTGGTACAAGGCAGTCCTCCCACCACTAATGTTCAGTGGTACAAGGCAGTCCTCCCACCACTAATGTTCAGTGGTACAAGACAGTCCTCCCACCAGTAATGTTCAGTGGTACAAGGCAGTCCTCCCACCACTAATGTTCAGTGGTACAGCAGTCCTCCCACCAGTAATGTTCAGTGGTACAGCAGTCCTCCCACCACTAATGTTCAGTGGTACAAGGCAGTCCTCCCACCACTAATGTTCAGTGGTACAAGGCAGTCCTCCCACCACTAATGTTCAGTGGTACAAGGCAGTCCTCCCACCACTAATGTCCAGTGGTACAAGACAGTCCTCCCACCACAGTCCTCCCACCACTAATGTTCAGTGGTACAAGGCAGTCCTCCCACCAGTCCTCCCACCAGTAATGTTCAGTGGTACAGCAGTCCTCCCACCAGTAATGTTCAGTGGTACAGCAGTCCTCCCACCAGTAATGTTCAGTGGTACAGCAGTCCTCCCACCAGTAATGTTCAGTGGTACAGCAGTCCTCCCACCAGTAATGTCCAGTGGTACAAGACAGTCCTCCCACCAGTAATGTCCAGTGGTACAAGACAGTCCTCCCACCAGTAATGTCCAGTGGTACAGCAGTCCTCCCACCACCACTATTTCTCACCCTCAAGCGAGACATGGTCACATCAAACTACACCTTCGTGCCAATTTTTTAGAAGAGAGTAAATTTTACGCGTAAATTAGTAAAAGACACTTAACAATTACAATAACTTATCAACAAAGTCTTCCATTGGAAAAGACAATTTGTTCAACAGCAACAAATTCAAACTAAGTATGAGAACACACTTGGATCTCAAATTGGATGAAGGATATAAACAAGCAAATCTGATAAGGAAACTGCATGCACATGGAATAAATGGTAATATGCTAGAATGGATAAAACAGCTGATGAAACAAAGATAACGTCGTCCTGAATGGAAATGAATCTGATTAGAAAAACGTGGTGAGTGGAGTACCGCAAGGTTCCATCTGGGAGCCGACCCTTTTTGTCATATGCATCAATGACAAAGAGATCTACATGAACTCCACAAATATGTCAGAAAATTGGCAAATGCTTTTCAATGTTGAAAAATGCAAGACCATCAATGTAGCTCATAAAGCTGCACATCACAACTATCATATCAACAACACTACCATGTAGAATGTAGATGAAGAAGGGGACCCAAGAGCTAGACTCCACCAGTCACAGAAAGTTGCATAACAAGTGGGAGCTGCAGTTAAAAAAAAAGTCTAGCAAAACCCTAAGAAAAGTCGAACAAATCTATGACTATAAGGAAGAGAAAGCAGCTATTCAAATGAACAAGTCCCTGGTGCGCGCCCATCAAGACTACTGTAGCCAAGCATGGAGACTCCGCCTTCAAAAGTTTAACACAGAGCGACAAAAATCATCCCAGAACTAAGTCGACTCTCATACCAGGAATGGTTGAGGGCCACAGGACTGAGCAAAGACCTCAGGCAAAGACCTAAGACCTACCTGGCACAAGCTGTGTGCAGCGTCTCGAGGCGTCGTTGATGTTCCTGCTCCATGACGTCGTCAGGTGGTGGCGGCAATGGGGTGGTTGTGGTGGTGGTGGTGGTGGTTGTGGTGGAGGTGGAGGAGCTGCGCCCGCGTGCGGGTCGAGGACGCCGGCTGAAGCCTCCACCAATGCGTGTTGAAGCTCGACCCATCGACCGCTGGGTGGTGGCGTCTGAGTGACTGTACCGACTCAGGTGAAACTTCTTATTAATTTTGGTGAGAATGCCCTGGGGAAAAATTAATAGTAATTTATCTTCGCAATTATAACTATTATAAAATAATAATAATGCTAATTTAATAACAATTAATAGTTCTCGTATATAACTGCCACTGTTATTTGATACTGGGAATTGACATTTTTCACAGGCTTTCATTATGAGTGGACAGCGAACGGGATTCGTAGTCCTAAAGTTCCGGGTTCGATCCCCGGCGGAGGCGGAAACAAATGGGCAGAGTTTCTTTCACCCTGATGTTCCTGTTCATCTAGCAATAAACAGGTACCTGAGAATTAGACAGCTGCTACGGGCTGCTTCCTGGGAAAATGTGTGTGTGAAAATTAGCATTAAGGACCTGCCCGAAGCGCTATACGTGCTAGTGGCTGTACAAGAATGTAAGAACTCTTGTATATATAAATCACCTCACCCAAATGCGAGTATATAAGACAAGCTGTTCAATGTTAGCATTAAGTAAAACTCTGTTTAGTGTTTTCAGGTTACAGTTGTGTGTGTGTAAACTAAAGTCTTTGAAAATGCAATAAGTTATTACGAAACGCGTTCAAGCGTCGCGTCAGACTAGAAATAAAAATGAATTTTGGAGAATTGATTTTTCAATTACCATCGACTGTGAAAAGAAACATAAGAAATATTGAGAAAATTCGTGTTAGAATTATTACTCTTACTTTTTCGATCATATTTAACAACATAAATACAAAAATAAATATATATAGATCCCATATAGGCTGACCTGTACTGTCAGTTCGAGTACTTGACAACGAGTACTCGAACTCGAGCCGTAAAGAGTGTGGACAAAGACTCACTAGAATACTCCTCTTCACTAGCACTAAATAGGTATCTTTTTTTTTTTTTTTTTTTTTTTTTGTATCTATATCAGCATGTTGTGGGGTTGCCTCCTGGGCAGGGTTAGTAGTTCCACCTTGGGAGGGGGGAGGGGGGGGTCTTGATATACCTTGTGGTTAGCTTGCGATGATTTCGGGGCTTATCGTCCTCGCGGCCCGGTCCTCGACCAGGCCTCGTCATTGCTGGACTTGTCAACCAGGCTGTTGGCCGGTCCAGCGACACGCTGAATTATCACATCTTATACCACGTCAAAAACTGGCCATTTAAACTAAGGTTACATGATATAATAAACAATTATATTACAAAGAATGATTACAGATTACAGTGAGAATCCAAAAGGTCTTCTCTGAACACTCTTAATTTTCTTATGCAGGCGATGAGCCACAATAACGTGGCTGAAGTATGTTGACCAGACCACACACTAGAAATTGAAGAGACGACGACGTTTCGGTCCGTCCTGGACCATTCGAAACGTCGTCGTCTCTTCAATTTCTAGTGTGTGGTCTGGTCAACTCTTAATTTTCTTCTTCGTGGATGTGGATCCCTTACAAACTATATCTTATATTCTTGCTCTATATACATGTTTCACTTCCAATAGACAAACAAAAATATCTGAATGTATAAACTATGATTCCTAAAAAATCCCACAAGAGCAATAGGATATCCCTCTTGTGTGTGTGTCCTCACCTGAGTCAGGAAGTGAAGGAGGCAGATTATGACTATTGTCTGGAGAAGGGCTGGCAGCGTCTTGTTTACTCTCCTTATGATGCCTGGGAACACCATCCTGGGCGAGGGGCGGCGAGGGATCCTGACGATAAGTGTATACATTCACAGGAAGATACAGGCGTGTACACATGCGCAGGAATATTCAGGTATGTACACATGCGCAGGAATATACAGGTATGTACACATGCGCAGGAATATACAGGTATGTACACATATACAAGAATATACAGGCATGTACATATACACAAGAATATACAGGTATGTACACATACACAGGAATATACTGCCATGTACACATACGCAGAAATACACAGGAATATACAGGTATGTACACATACGCAGGCATACACACGCATGTACACGTAGACAAAAATATAGATAAAACAATTACAAACTAGTGTCTACACTACGAACTAAAGCCGGCGAGACACTGCCAAACTGTAGTCATCATGCAAATCGCGAAATATGAGAACCTGTTTCCAGTTGGCTCCACATTCTTGGCGTCCCTTTACACGCAACACACCAGCCAATGTCACCTTTCAGACACCATCTACAGCATGGGTTTGGACGCAATAATTAACTAATTAAACTTACAAGAAACATTACCTGTTGGGCGCAATAATAAACTAATTAAACTTACAAAAAACATTACTTGTTTTCCCACTATCCTTGACTATATTTGCGTGTGTTACCACGCGGGATTAAACATGATATTTATTCTAAATATTCTTCGTATCCGGAAATTACAGAGACTCGACGGATCGGAGAAGCAAGTGAAGATATATAGTTAGATATGCTCGTCATTTCACTGTTAAATGGTGTTTTTTAGCCGTTCAAATGACTACGAAGTGTGTGCACTTTTGTGTCTCTTATCCTCACCTTGTTCTTATTGAATATAGTGATAACACCACCAAGTGGAACGGTAAAAACAGGAGCCCCTTGTGTGCCCGTCACCACTGCTTCAGGTCGACTGGCACGGTGTGGCGGCGGACACACACACACACACACACACACACACACACACACACACACACACACACACACACACACACACACACACACACACACACACACGCAAGTACCCGTGCGCGTGAAGGATGGACACATGCACAACACACCTGGGGTAGACACATATACATGTAGGATACATGAATTAACGGACACACACTGGGTGGATAGACATGTGGGATGGCCACACACACATATGATAGGCATACACGTGGACACATGGAATGTACACAAACACACACAAACAGGCTCTTATTCGGGACCAAAGAGCCAGAGTTCATCCCCCGCAAGCACAAATAGGTGAGTACACGCAGAACCACCTCCCCCTGACCCGCCATAACGGTACTGAGGATGTAGCTACAACCTGTTCAACCGCTCTCATCTCATATCCGTCTCACGCTCTCACCCTTATTTTTATTTGACTTCATATTTCTGGCGCAGCAGAACAGTCAACCTTGGGACAGTATTACCGCAGAGCCCTGGGAGCTCGCGCTGATTATGTCCCACCAGACTCGAAGGCGCGACCATATCCCACATTTAAAATGACTCTCCTTGTTGGCTTCCCTAAGGAACGATTCTTTACCTTCAAGAGTAAATGTTATGTTTAGAGAACTGTGATAGAGGAGACATAGAGGAGACAAGAAGGAGACGTGTCACAGTCACCAGGAGAGTTGGGAGACGACCCAGCCCATGGCGGCGGCCCGGCCCGGTGTCCGAGCGTTGAACTCGCCGACGTCCAGGAGTATGGGCGGCAGCGGCGGGGCGCATTCTACCACGACAGGCGTCTCGCCCCAGCGCTGGTGGTGAGGATCCCGCGCTCCCAGCCATTCTCATTATTATGTAAACACTGAGAATATGTTCTTAAACAATTTGAGCATATTCTTAACTTAATATAAATACAACTACTTTGATTTTTTATTGTAATTGTTAACGATATTGTTATCGACATGTAAAGTGATAAATAATTAATTGTGAAATGCTTGCACGCAGTGACGGGTATGCTAGTAGTGGCTCTGGTGTGGCCAGTAGCTGGTTAGGTGACCGCGGGCAGCCTGGCCCTGACCTCAGAGGACCTCTTTACGCCTAACAAGGTTCCTGCCTTCCCCCCCCCAAATAATAATATACAAACATAGCGTAGACATACAAGAGGTGGTTGCCCCCAGGTGTTAATGAGACATTTCGCTACGTAGGTCACTACATGATTCCCGTTACCAGTGGGAAAGGTGGAAGGGGCGGGGGACCTCCCAGATCTTTATAGCCAGTCCATACATCGGTGCTCAATCTATCCTTGTTTACACAGACAAGAGCACCAAGGTCTCGATGTTTGTGGTTCCGTAGATGGTTGACAAGTTCACACTTGACAGTTGATTTGGCTTTTTTGGGGTTGTATACTAGAAATGAATAACAAAGAAACTTCATTAAGAACGATAAAATACGACTCGATATCCTTATTGTGAAAGACGGCAGTGGAGGTGTACAGTATGGCATTGTGCAGGTGGGGATAGGATCTGATCACTTCCTCCCTGTCATCTCTTTCTCTCTCTCTATCACTATCACTATCACTATCACTCACTCACTCTCTCTCTCTCTCTATCACTATCACTATCACTATCACTATCACTCTCTCTCTCTCTCTCTCTCTCTCTCTCTCTCTCTCTCTCTCTCTCTCTCTCTCTCTCTCTCTCTCTCTCTCTCTCTCTCTCTCTTACAGCTCGAGGAATTACAGATAAGAGGCCACGGACTTGGCTGAGTCCGTGAGGTCAACCATTCAATTGTAATCTAAAAGTTATTTTGATATTAATACGATTGTTTCTATAAAGTTAATTCTATTTAACATCACAAATTTATTCCACAAAATTCTACCCTTCAAACAAAATCTAACACCCTGTCGCCCTCATAGAGACCAGACCCTACACCTTCACACCTGGCAAATTACCAACAACAGGCACGTTGAAATTACTTCAGTCTTGACAGAGAAGAAAACGGGTGCTCCTGTTTACAGGCACAGAAAACGGGCGCAATGTTTACCGTTACGAGTCATCGTCCAGGTGAGGTTCCAGGACCCACAAGGGTCCCACGCGGGTCAGTTACGTACCGACCGTCGCAGGGGTAATGTCGGTCGTCGACGCTCTGAGAAAATAAAAATAAAATAATAATTCGACGGATAACAACAATAACATTAATACAACCGAATTATAAAAACAACATTGTATCGAGTAGTATTTATACGGAATATTATACAAATAAGTGAAGAAAATGAAGATGTGTTAGTAAAGAAAACATGACATTTCAGGGAGAACAATTATGAAATGTGGTGGAATGGTTGAGTGACTGGTTAGAATGTTTCCTCGGCTGCCCAAGTTACCTCGCAGGGTGCTCTTAGCTGTGGCGTACGTCTATTGTTTGTTAATAATGGTTAACCGGCTCAGTGACGTCAGACAGGTAATTCCAGGGCTTCTTTACTGCTATCCTCCTTATTCAGCTGCTATCCTCAGACTGCTAATTTTCTTGTTTACTGCTTCTTTGATCCGCTAACTAGCCTGCTACTGTTATTTTGTTGCTACTTAGAATTAGCAGAAGCAAAAGACACACATGTCCTACTGTTGCTACTGCTATTGTTTACTTACTACTACTGTCCTGCCTCGAGTAAATAAATAAAATAAATAAATAAATAAATGTTTATTCAGGTAAGGTACATACATTCAAGAGATTTTACATAAATTGATCGATTTATAGATAGAGCTAGTACATACAATGCCTAAATCCACTATTATGCAAAGCGTTTCGGGCAGGAAAAACATTAATGACTAAAACTTAATACTAATTGAGTATAAAGAATAAAATGTGTTGAGAACAAATAAAAATAAAGATAAAAAAGGGGGAAACATGGCTGAAAAAGCAGCACAAATACAATTAGGTCGACAAACAGCGTTGTTTAAGAAAACAGACATGGGTTGACAATAGAGGGGTAAAGTAGGTTACAGGGAATTTATTCTTGCTATCTTGCTATCATGCTATCTTGCTACGTACTTCCTCTGCTGCTGCTACAATAATATGAAGCTAACTAATGCTGTGCTACTGGCTGCTACTGTTGATTCTTGTACTGTCCCACGTGGGCTACTTTCCCGTCAATGGTACTGACAACCAACAGCTACTTGCTACTGACCAGGTGACATCAGCAGAATCACTCCATAACTGCTATTATTAGACCATTACTGTTTCATTAACTCTAACTTGAATATCAGTGTAAAACCATTTTTATCTTAAATTTGTATTTTGCTAATATTTCTTCCTCAAGTTTCAAAATTCATCCATGTTTCTGTGACAGCAATTATATCTGCTTTTTCTGTGCAACACAAATGTACTTATGTGGTCCATTTTATTTAGAAAACTCTTGCTACGTGTGTGTGTAACATTCCCTTAACTTGGAGAGTTTTATGCTCTTCATTTCGAGGCAAGGTGAAGAAAGAAGGAGAAGAAAGCACACTAAGTGCAACAAACACTTGAAAGGAATACTGGTAAAAGAATGTTGGCACGTTTTACGAACGTAAAAGAACGTCCAAGTTCACACCTTGAACTTGGACCATCCGGGGTGAACATTGCAGGCGAGGAGTCACAATAACGTGGCTGAAGTATGTTGACCAGACCACACACTAGAAAGTGAAGGGACGACGACGTTTCGGTCCGTCCTGGATCATTCTCAAGTCGATTGTAGATGGCCCAGGCAATCGACTTGAAAATGATTGCCAATCGACTTGACAATGGTCCAAGACGGACCGAAACGTCGTCGTCCCTTCACTTTCCAGTGTGTGGTCTGGACAACAAGGTGAACATTAATTTATCTCGTTCTTGCTTTCCTGCAGGAGACAGAGGACCAGTGGGAGGCTCTCCGCCAGGACTTCGTGGCCCGCGCCGCTCGGGTGCGGGCTGGGTGCTCCTCCAACCCCCCGCGCCCCAGCAAGCTCCAGCAGCACGCCCTCGACGCCGCCCACGTCAGCGCCCACCTCTCCACCCACTATCACAACATGCACCTCAAGGCAGCCCTTAAAGATATAATTTACCTCCCAAAGCATAACCTCTCCTGGTGCCTCGTTCCCAAGGTCAGTAAAGGTCATTTGTTTTACGGTCAGGTGAGTAATTAGATGCCACAAATGTTTATGATTGTTTCAAAGGTCAGAAAAGGTCATAGTCTCCTAAGAACACCATAAATTTTTAGTGTTTCAGGAGTGTTCATTACAGTTTCACGTTGTTTGGAAGGTCAAGAAAGGTCTTGCTTTTTATGGAGGGTCTATTAAGGTCAAATAAAGTAGAGGGCGCGAAAAGTTCCGGTAGTTTTAGTCATTAAAAGTTTATGTAAATATGTAAGTCATGTGAGGTTAAATTTATGAAGGTCATAGATGCGCTAGGTTGCTAAGGACGAAAAAAGGTCAAAATAATTAGTAAGGATGTCAGAAACGTTCAAGATTGTTTTGGATATCAGAAAAGGTCAAGGTTCTTATGGTCAGAAAAAGTCGAGGTTCTTATTAAGATCAGAAAAGGTCGGGGTTCTTATCAAGGTCAGAAAGGGTCGAGGTTCTTATTAAGGTCAGAAAAGGTCGAGGTTCTTATCAAGGTCAGAGAAGGTCGGGGTTCTTATCAAGGCCAGAAAAAGTCGAGGTTCTTATCAAGGCCAGAGAAGGCCGAGGTTCTTATCAAGTTCAGAAAAGGTCGAGGTTTTTATCAAGTTCAGAAAAGGTCGAGGTTCTTATCAAGGCCAAAAAGGGTCGAGGTTCTTATTGACATAACAGGTTGAAGTTCTAATTAAGGTCAGAAAAGGTCGGGGTTCTTATTAAGGTCAGAAAAGGTCGAGGTTAAAAGGTCAGAAAAGGTCAAGGTTCTTATTAAGATCAGACAATATCTATGTAACTGTGTAGGTACAGTGAGCTGTCTCCTGCATGAGGTGACAACAGTGACTTACACGACACCCTTGTGCTGCAGGTGGCGTCGACGTCTTGGTGCAAGGCGCTGCTCGACCTCCAGGGCATCACTGGGGACGAGTACAGCTACCCTCCTCTACAGGTCGTCCTCAGGCAGGCCTTCAGGTAAGGTCAACCTCGCCACCACCCGAGTTAAGACTCGACGATATTACAGAATAGCGAAGGCGATAAGTTACAATATCGTGACTGGAGATAGCTATCCTCCTCTACAGGTCGTCCTCAGGCAGGCCTTCAGGTAAGGTCAACCTCGCCACCACCCGAGTTAAGACTCGACGATATTACAGAATAGCGAAAGCGGTAAGTTACAATATCGTGACTGGAGATTGATTGATTAATTTGAAAAGGGGGCGACGTTTCGGTCCGCCAATTAAGGGCCTCTTGTTGTACAATGATGTTAACTAGTGATATCTTCAATGTATGGAATGTAAATATAATGCAGATTACAATAATTATGTTTGAGATGTCCTTGGAAGTATGAAAGGTAGGGGTGTTTAATTACCTAAGTGTGTGAGAGTGTGTGAGTGTGTGTGTGTGTGTGTGTGTGTGTGTGTGTGTGTGTGTGTGTGTGTGTGTGTGTGTGTGTGTGTGTGTGTGTGTGTGTGTACTCACCTAGTTGTGCTTGCGGGGGTTGAGCTTTGGCTCTTTGGTCCCGCCTCTCAACCGTCAATCAACAGGTGTACAGGTTCCTGGGCCTATTGGGCTCTATCATATCTACACTTGAAACTGTGTATGGAGTCAGCCTCCACCACATCACTTCCTAATGCATTCCATTTGTCAACCACTCTGACACTAAAAAAGTTCTCTGTGTGTGTATGTATGTGTGTGTGTGTGTGTGTGTGTGTGTGTGTGTGTGTGTGTGCGTGCGTGCCTCTGCTCCCTCATCACACCACTTTACAACAACTTTCCCCACCTCAGGCCGGTGGAGCCGTCACGAGTGAACACTACCATCAACGCCTCCCTCAAGTTCCTCTTCGTTCGGCACCCGTTCCAGCGCCTCGTTTCAGCTTACAGGAACAAGCTGGAGGACTCGAACCTACAGGAGGACGGCGCCTACTTCTACAAGAACTACGGCAGACGCATCGTACAGAGGTTCAGGAAGAGCAAGCTGGACGTGCGATCAGTACAAGCAAATGAAGAGATTAAAACCCTAGGACAAGGAGAATTATCCGGCAAAAAAGGACAAGGAATTGACGGCGTAGGAGGAAAAGGAGAAATCAAGAAGGATTTCATCAAAACGGAGGAGAAAATAGAGGAGGATTACGTGGAGTACAGGAAGGAGCCCACTTTTGAGGAGTACGTCGACTACCTCATCGACACAGATGTCGACAGCTACGACGAACACTGGAAACCTATCTCGCGTCACTGTCACGTCTGCGAGTTCCCCTTCGACTACATCATCAGGTACGAGAACTTCAGCGACGAGATCAAGTACTTGGTGAGGGTGCTGCAGGAGGGCGGGAGGCTGCCCGCCAAGTTCCACCTGCAGTGGGAGAACCGAGGAGGGACAGACGAGGACACGACAGCCAGGTACCTGAGCCAGGTCACTCAACACAAACTATGGCTCCTCTACGAGAAATACCACCAGGATTTCTTATATTTTGGCTACACAATTGACGATTATATTCGGTCATGATGTGGCTTCCCACTCTCGTCGACAGGAAGCCCGATTAGGTTTAAGCTCCATCTAGGCCAACGGTTAACCTTTCGCAGGATGCAAATCACAACAGCCGCTTAACTCAACTGTACCAACTTACTGCTGGGTGAACAGAGACACAGAGCTGCGCCAAAATAATAAAAATAATGCTTGTTCAAAAGAATGTGTACAAAGAACATAAAAGTAATGTCTAACTGTAAGAACAGGAAATACACATACTAATGAAGCCACCATTACAAAATGTCTCGCCTCTGTAACCCGTCGTCCTAATAGCACGTCGCATTTTGACGTATAGTCTACCTAAGGCCAAAAATCGTCGTACTAGAAAATGGAAGCGGCTGGCGATTTTGACGGACTGTCCCGTTTTCTGTTGTGGGTCCTCTGGTAGTTTAGGATAAGGCCATTTTAGTACGACAGTTTCTTGACGTTCGGGAACCTTAGGAGGACGGCCGGGCTACGTCCCGAGCGGGAACTGAACACCAGACGTACTGGTTGGGTACCAAAAATTAATTGATGTTAATGAGAAAAGAATAAATATTTATGAGCACTTTAAAGTGAGTTTAATTAAATATGTAATGTACCTAAAAAGTCTTTATTATTAATATAAATAAGTTCTTGACTAAATATTATGTTCTTGTTCTTATTTAAGTTGGCCATATCTCGCTAAATATTGCTAAAAGACTTTAATTTTTAAATATCAAAAGCCAGACTTTATACCTAAAGGAACGCAACGAGGCGAGGTAAATCTAATGATAACATAATACAAATAATATCTTACTTATAAGATATTACAATGGATCAATTACAGTATGGTTACTATGTATAAGTGCAGTACTTGTATACTTTATAAAATAACTGTTTACGTCTAGAGAGTCGACCAATAGCGTCATTTCGAGTTTCATTTTAAAAAAATATTGATTTCGGTTAAGTAACGTCTTTTGTTTTGGCGGGCGCCCGGTGCGCGGGAACCCCGTCACTTGACCGGCAAGAATTACCACAGATCTTTTCCATCATTTGACTTTATTTTCCGGGAAAATAAATAATATATAAATGTCATGCAAAACATATTGTAATTTATGTATAATAAACACTTAAAATTGAAAATATTTATAGTGTTTTAATGACTTTAACGCAACATTATTATGTTAGGATTTAATTTTTAATTTAATTTTGCCCCGAGGGGCGAGTTTATTGGGCAGCGCCACTCATCTTGTGAGTGAACATACCGCCATAGCAGAATGTACAACACTCCCCAATAGGAAGAAAACCCGCTGGGTTGTTCATCCTGTCACTTGTACCCAGACACAGCTGGGACTTGTTAGGATATACACCCGAGGTGAATATCTCAGCTCTTGCAGTATATTATTCTTGAGAGTATACCTTAGTCCTGGACTAAGGTATACTTGCTGGTGGGTCAGTCGGCTGTTGTGGTCTTAATAACCCTCTTAAGGTTGATTGGTCTTAATGATCATCCAGAGGATGATAGGTCATAATAACTCTGCAGAGGATGATAGGCCTTAATAACCCTCCAGAGGATGATAGGTATTAATAACCTTCCAGAGGATGATAGGCCTTAATGACCCTCCAGAGGATGATAGGCCTTAATGACCCTCCAGAGGATGATAGGCCTTAACAACTCTCCAGAGGATGATAGGCCTTAATAACCTTCCAGAGGATGATAGGCCTTAATGACCCTCCAGAGGATGATAGGCCTTAACAACTCTCCAGAGGATGATAGGCCTTAATAACCTTCCAGAGGATGATAGGTCTTAATAACTCTCCAGAGGATGACCCTCCAATGGATTATCATTTGTAGTGCATCTAAATTATGTATTAATAATTAGGCATATTTTCATTGGGAAATTTTCTACTCATTTGGCATAATCATTGTATTTGTTTTTGAGTAGGCCGTATTTCACAAATATTGCTCCAAGTCCGAGGCCAGAGACCTAAACTGGGCCTATAGAAATAATTTTCCCAAGACCTCAACAACGGAAAATATTACGTCCGAAAGTTACAGCAGTTCGAATATTTTATTTAGTTTACGGGCCCATATATTTCATTTTCTGTCGTGCGCGTGTCATAGAAAATGATAACTAAAATGCTATTTTGTGTAGCAAACTCTGTTAGTTGCTTAGGAACAATTGACAGCCTAATAATAATGATAACAATCATATTCATAATAATAATAGTAAATCGTTTTTTCCGGGAACTATGAGCCTGTGTATATGTATATAATTTAGGTTGGATATCGAGATATCGAGGCCCTCAAACTGCTGACCCTCTCCCAGGATGCAACCAGTTATCTAATTCCCGGATAACTGCTGACCTTATCGTAGAAATAAGAAAGAAAGAAATTTATTTTCTTTCTTTTTCTTTTTTTTCTCGTAGAAATTTCCTGCTATCGTAAATATTAAATGCTTTATTTGTTCCGTGGCTAAAATCAGAGGCTACAGTAGTCTATGATTGTGTCTTTATTACTAAAAATCTGTATATAATCTACTCAATATCTTGACACATTCATACATGATAGCTTCTTAGTAATATTAAGTGGTTATACCCCAACCCGTTCTCGCACTTTCGTATAGTCAATATTGACTTATTAAATACATGCATATGTGACACACTAAACATACCAGTTTACCTTGAAAAGCTTCATAGAAAACACCGACCTTACCTAACCTTCTTAGTATGTTAAGATAAGCATTTTATTGCTTCGTAATTACAATTATTACTTATATACCATTATATACCACTGTATACCCCATCAAACCCCATAAATAATTTAACTCGCTTATTATAAGTTTGCCTGAGACGCCTGGCGTATTAATGGCTCTGTTAAACATACATATTCTGAAACAACTAATTAGCCACTGTGCAAAGTTCTAATTTACATTAAACACTATTATTATTATTAAACACCTACACACACTAACACTCAAAATGGCTGAGAAAGATGTAAAGTAGCCTAAAAGTGATAGATATGTGACCCTTTAACATCGCTCAATATGCCTCACAAGTTTCATTTCCCATGGAATCGAACCATCTATAACACACACACACCAATGGGTTCAATCCCATTCCACGCAGAACTGTCGAGAAATGTACTTACCTAGTTGCCTAGTTGTACTTACCTAGTTGTGCTTGCGGGGGTTCAGCTCTGGCTCATTGGTCCCGCCTCTCAACCGTCAATCAGCTAATGTACAGGTTCCTGAGCCTACTGGGCTCTATCATATCTACACTTGAAGCTGTGTATGGAGTCAGCCTCCACCACATCACTGCCTAATGCATTCCATTTGTCTACTACTCTGTAGACAAAGGTGGACACTGAAAAAAATCTTTCTAACGTCTCTATGGCTTATTTGGGCACTCAATTTTCACCTGTGTCCCCTAGTGCGTGCGCTCCTGGTGTGAAATAGTCTGTCTTTATCTACTCTATCAATTCCTCTGAGAATCTTGTATGTGGTGATCATGTCCCCCCTAACTCTTCCGTCTCCCAGCGACGTGAGGTTTAATTCCCGTAGTCTCTCCTCATAGCTTATACCCCTCAGTTCGGGTACTAGTCTGGTGGCAAACCTTTGACCTGAGAGACATTGCTCTCAACACACAACTAAACAAAATATTTCATACACTCGTTGAATATCTAGCTAGCAAACTCCACACCTTGGGTTTCAGCTTGTATATAAAATTGGTTATTCTAAGACGCCATGATTAAGTCCCTTGGTGATGGGAACTATTTTAATACTGTAAAATTGACATCAGCAAGAAATTAAACAACAGAAGACATAGCAGAGGAGGAGATGGAGACATCAGAGGAGATAGAAGAGGACAAGACAGCAGAGTCAATAGAGAAACAAACAGCACAGATAACAAGAGGAAGAGAAGAGGAGACAACAGAAGAAGAGATAACAGAGGAGGAGACAGACAACAGAAGAGAGAATAGAGAAGAAGCTTCAGTTATACACGAGGGGAAGAGAGTCGCGAGGGCAGGAAGACGACCGTAAGAAGGCTGCCAAGTCCGCAAGTTGGAGGAAGTTGGGTCAAGTTCCTGCCGCCGAGGACAATCTCGGAATTAAGGAAACTTGTCGGACGTTCTGTTTTTCCCCCGCGTTTTGTAGTGCGTTTGTGTTCGCTTTCCGAAACACGGAGAATACGATGAACAGTGTCGGAGGTCGGGAGCAGTGAGGCTCCTCTTACCAGTCCCATCTCTACTACCATACTGCTACTCAACCTGATCTTGGCTATTCTCTTGTATATTGAGGAACTTCACCCATGGAGGTCTGTGGGAGTCATTATTGCCATCTATTGTCATTTTTTGTCTCCCTCGGAGTACCCGAACCTTCTGAGACGCTTTTGATGTATCTCCGATCGCCGAGTTGCACAGTTCTTTTTTTCTGCACTGTTGGTTACTGAGTATACGTGGGAGGGGCTGGAAGAAGATGCCCAGGGCTCAAAGATACCTCAGGGCTCAAAGATACCTCAGAGCTGGAAGATACCTCAGGGCCGTGCTCCTGGGTGGGGAAGGACTGGAAAAGGACTCGCAAGCCAAACCTGCGAGGGGAGGAAGGGATATCAAATACGCAAAAAAGAGGGAAGAGTTGTCTTGGAGACAGCATCGCTTCCTTACAGGGTAGTGAAGAGGATCGAACCTCCTCCACAATACCGGAAGATCGAGGGGGGGGGGGAGACGCCCCCTTCCCCGCTCTCAAGTCAGGCGTCCTTTGTTCTGGGGGCGCCTGCTGCCTTTGTGACATCAGCCACGATATCCAATCATTATTCCGCAATATAGCTCAGCAAATCATACTTCCATAGGCACCCCACATGGCGCTAGGGAAGTGGCTCTCTCCTCCGTACATGCTGTCAGGGTCATGAACTAGTTTGGTATATTTTAAACATTATTTTAAGGCCGGTCTAATGCCTTTTACACATATTATGTACGGACTCAAAGTCTGTACAGGAGATTGTCGAGCACCACGATGGAAAAATGGAAGAAGGGTACTTGGCCCCTATTCATGGGCCCCCATTCATGGGCCCCCATTGCCCTGCGACTCCTCCCTACTAACGAGAGCCCTGCAACACCACATTGTGCTGGATCAGCGAATCTCCAAAATGCAAACCTGTGAGAATCATCATCACCTCTTAAACCATCGGGGATCGAACTCGGACGTCAGTGAGGGAGATTCTGACGGAGACACCTAGGACAGAGCCCCTCAATTCTGTGCATATCATGTCTCGGTTCTATAATACAAGCAAAATCAGCTTTCTGCCATACTCTGTTGCAAGCTGCGGAGCAATTCTTGCAGGCTACTTCCACTTCCTTCCCCGCCCCCAGGAGAGCAGGGAGGGGGAATGCAGGACGCCCCCCCCACCTCCCCCAGGAGAGCAGGGAGGGGGAATGCAGGACACGTCCCCCATTTCCCTTGGAGAGCAGGGAGGGGGAATGCAGGACACCCCCCCCACCTCCCCCAGGAGAGCAGGGAGGGGGAATGCAGGACACCCCCCCCACCTCCCCCAGGAGAGCAGGGAGGGGGAATGCAGGACACCCCCCCCCCCCCCACCTCCCCCAGGAGAGCAGGGAGGGGGAATGCAGGACTCCCCCCCCACCTCCCCCAGGAGAGCAGGGAGGGGGAATGCAGGACACCCCCCACCTCCCCCAGGAGAGCAGGGAGGGGGAATGCAGGACACCCCCCACCTCCCCCAGGGGAGCAGGGAGGGGGAATGCAGGACACCCCCCACCTCCCCCAGGAGAGCAGGGAGGGGGAATGCAGGACACCCCCACCACCCCCCAGGGGAGCAGGGAGGGGGAATGCAGGACACCCCCCACCTCCCCCAGGGGAGCAGGGAGGGGGAATGCAGGACACCCCCCACCTCCCCCAGGAGAGCAGGGAGGGGGAATGCAGGACACCCCCCACCTCCCCCAGGGGAGCAGGGAGGGGGAATGCAGGACGCCGCCGGGGTCGATACCGGATAGTATGGGGACGCCTCTGCCTGCCTCCGCCAGCAGGCGTCCTTTGTTCTGGGGCGCCTGCCTCCTGACTGCTGACTGCTTGATGCCCCAGCTGACTGCTTGATGGTCTAGGTGACTGCTTGATGGTCCAGCTGACTGCTTGATGGTCCAGCTGACTGCTTGATGGTCCAGCTGACTGCTTGATGGTCCAGCTGACTGCTTGATGGTCCAGCTGACTGCTTGATGGTCCAGCTGACTGCTTGATGGTCTAGCTGACTGCTTGATGGTCCAGCTGACTGCTTGATGGTCCAGCTGACTGCTTGATGGTCCAGCTGACTGGTTGATGGTCTAGGTGACTGCTTGATGGTCCAGCTGACTGGTTGATGGTCCAGCTGACTGCTTGATGGTCCAGCTGACTGGTTGATGGTCCAGCTGACTGCTTGATGGTCTAGCTGACTGCTTGATGCCCCAGCTGACTGCTTGATGGTCCAGCTGACTGGTTGATGGTCCAGCTGACTGCTTGATGGTCCAGCTGACTGCTTGATGGTCCAGCTGACTGGTTGATGGTCCAGCTGACTGCTTGATGGTCCAGCTGACTGCTTGATGGTCCAGCTGACTGGTTGATGGTCTAGCTGACTGCTTGATGGTCCAGCTGACTGGTTGATGCCCCAGCTGACTGGTTGATGCCCCAGCTGACTGCTTGATGGTCCAGCTGACTGGTTGATGGTCTAGGTGACTGCT